GGCCTCATGCAGGAGCTGATTGCACAGCCATTCAGCTCCTATATGATGCCTTTCTTCACCCCCTTCAACCGCGTGTGGCCTCCAGACCCTCCTCCGCACCCTGGGCTCCACAGGGATGGGTCTTCCGGCTTGCTACTGCCTGGCATGCTTTCCCTCCTGGCCCCACAGCTCTCCATGTTGCTAGGGGGGAATGCCTGGGGCTGGGCCATCTCCGAGGTCCTTTCTTGGAGGGGGAGCTATATCCTTGGTGGGATATTCCCTGGGGCTGGGCCAAGGGTCACCCCCTGACTCTGTGGCCACGGGTAGACAGGTCAGAGGTCGATCCTGGGCCTACCCCGGGGCTTCTCCCACTGGGATTCCAGGAGCTATTCTCTCCTGGGCACCCTCTGAGGGGACCCAGCTCACAGGATAAAGGGATGGATCCCAGAGAGAGGGTATCTTTGTTTGCAGGACAGGGGGCTGGAACAGAGCAGGGCTGAGACTTACCAGTGCTCCCAGAACAGGGTCTCCTTGAGGGGCCTCTGCCTCTATCCAGGATGAATTAATCTGACCAGGAGGCTGAGGTCCCTCACAGGCGGCCTCTTACTCTCTCCTTGAGCCCTTCTGGAGAAGTCTCATCCCCTTCAGCCCGTGGATCCCCTAAGAGTTGTCAGTCACCTCGTACTTCCCCTGTGACACCCCTACCCAGGCTGGGCGCCCATAGGCACTTCGAGAGCATGACGACAGCTGGCATAGAGTCCTGTCTTCTGTACCCCAATAACTCAGGTCATCGCATGTACAGGGAGGGGGGCCATCTCCATCCCCACAGCATGTGTGTGTGTTAACTTCACTGACCAGCTATGGCAGCCAGCCCAGGCACACAGGAGTTCCCAGGATAGAGAGCAGGACAGGGAGGACCCAGGCTCTCACCGCGCCCCCAACCCCGTCCAGTCCACCATTTCTCTCCCTTCCTTTCCCTCTCCCCTTCCTCACTCTACCTGTGCACCTTGAATCTTCCATGGTGTCAGGATTGTCGTGCCGGCCCCTGAGCTCACACGGGTGGATGGAAGTCCAGATGAGGCTCAGTGTTCAGGTCTCAGATCATGTCTGATGGGCATAGATCGTAACAGGTGGTCCCCTGTGTCCAGCAGCGGGGCTCAAGGTGGCTAGGGACAGAGAATTGCGCCCCAGGGATAGGTGATAGTTTGCCTGTCACCTTTCCCTTTCTAACTACGGGGCCACTCCCGCTTACCTAGGCATGCAGGGACCTTTTTCCTCTTCTCCAGCCTGGTTAAAAGCTGGTAAAACTCTTGGCTCAGGGTCTTGCCTGGTGTCCCCTAATGTGACCCACGGTCAGCTGTAAGAGAGAGTGGCAAATCCAGTCCTGCCAGTGAGTAGCTGGAGTGTGTGCTGTCACCAGCTCTGGAACTGATATGTCTGGCCTGGAGCCTGCAGGGACATCTTATAAGGGGGGAGGATGGACGGACGCAAGGGAGGGGACAAGCAGGGGTGGCCAAGGGAGGGCCTTGAGCTCTCCTTTGTTCCCGGGTGCTCCCTGGATGGGGAGTGAAGCTGAGAAGTGGGGGCAGTTTGCTCAGTGGGTGGAGTCTGCAGCCAGGGGCTGGGCTTTGGTTTTCACCTTTACTGGGGTGAGAGTGAGGTCGTCATCACCTAGCAGGAACATTCACACCAATTTCTTTCTTTGCTTTTCTCTTCCCCAGGAGAAAAAAAAAAAAAAAAAAAAAAAAAAGGTTTGGGAAAAAAAAAAAAAAAAAAAAAAAACAGGTTTGTGTTGTGCCTTTCAGTCTCTTTCTAAGTGGCTCTGCTGATAACCTGGTAACCTACCGTTTTAGCTCGTCACAAGTTTTCTTTACAGCCTGGAACTGCCTTCTTCTCCTGTAAATGGGGACAAAGCCCCTGCTGGGTAGATTGGCAAGCCAGTGGGCCTTTATTGGTTCTTCATAGTCTGTGGACATGTGGGCTGTGCATAAATGCACCCACTCCTGTGACCAACATCATTGCCAGACTCTTAGCAGGCTCCCGGCCCACTGTTAAGTTTTTCTTTCTCACTTCTACTCCCACTTGGTATGGAAGGCCTTGTGTCCCTGGCAGCAGCAGGGACATAAAGGTTATTTGGTTATGCACTGCACCCAGAGAGGCCCTCACTAAGCAGGGACAGAATTTTCTTTTTGAGGTCCAGCTTTGGGTGGGGGGGTCCCCAGGAAAATTAAGCTAGGGCATAGGAATGGTGAGTTTGTCCTCCCCGTTAGGACCCCTCAAGGTCATGGACCCTTCTTAAGAATTCCAAGCAGAGTGATATGTGGGGCAGGGAGTACTTTAGGAATCAAAGGCCCTGACCTCCCCTGGTAGGTTCCCCGCTTAGGGAGTAGGAAGGCAGGCCAGTGGGAAGATAGTCACCCTGTCATTTGGAGCCAGGGACTTCTGTAAACAGTTTACTAAGGGAATGCTGGGATTGTTGCAGCTGAGCCTCTGACCCTGACCCATACTATGTCGTTTGTGGCTGTTGTAGATAGACAGACAGACAGCAACAGCCTGTCTCTGGAGGCTCTTGTGATTTCAGCTGTATGTGAGGTCAAGCGTTTGAGTTCTGAGACCTTAGGCTGTGTGGATGGAGGGCCGTGCAGGAGGTTCCCCAGGCTTGTCTGTGACCACAGATCTCTGCAGTCCTTTCTGTGTCACACTTCTCTCAACACATGTCACCAGAAAGTCCCTGGATAAGAGGGAGGGTAGGGACTCAGTGTTGGTTGCCCTCAAGACTTTATTTGTGACCCCTTTGAAATCTTCCAGAAGCTCCCATAGCCTTGTGGGATAGACAGGGAAATTGAAGGTGGGATCATTTGTCCTGTTGACAAGATCCCGGGGCGGGGGAGAGGGGGGGGTTGGGCATGGGCAACTTCCTGAAGAGTAGGGAAAGCGCTAAGGAGAGGCTGAGCCCCTGACTTTGAACCTGGGATCCTACCCATGATCCCCTGGTGATGCTGTCAGGGGTACATTCCTTTTTAAGGGGGGCTAGGCAGTAGTCAGCTGCTCGTTAGGACAAACAAGGGCACAGTGATGCCAATGTGGCCTGGAGAGGAGGGTAGGCATGGAGGAATGGGTCTTGGGCTTATCTGTAGATTTCTCAGGGCCCCAAGCTCACTTATTCTGCTACATGTGGGTATTCAGGGCCTTGACCCATTCTCAGGACAAGGACAGGGGGCTTGGGGAGTTAACTTCAGGTCAGATTTCTAGGCAAGATGTAAAAAGCAGAGCTAGTATCACTGGGATGTGTGGGCCCTATTAATTGCATGTCCATACTTCCCTTAAAGTCACACTTTGAGCTGTCCTTGGTTTTGTACCTGTGGGGGGGTGCTTCTGAGAAGGGGTGCAGACTTTGTGAGGGAGGGAGGGAGGGATACTTCCCTACTGCCCCCCAGGAGCTTCTGTCTATCCCCAGACCAGTGTACCCTCAGGATAGCCATTTATAGGGCAGGGGTCGAGACCTTCTTCATTGGGGGCAACTTTGGGAATGGTTCCAAGGCAGTGCCCATGGAGTCCCTTTAGCTGTAGGCATAGGACACAGCCCGGCCACTCCTCACTTCAGGTGCGGCCAGAAGAAGACTGGGATTTCTGGGCACCCTTCCCCTTCCCCCGTGAGCTCCCATGTCTCCTTCCCATTTGTGGCTCCCCTTGGAATGAGCCTGAGGTAGTGAGAGTGGAGTGGCTTCCCTTTCTCTAGGAGAAGGGAGCCGGGCTGCTATGCATCTCCCTGAAGTATCCCAGCAGAGTCAAGCACACCTGCCCATGCCCCTCCCACCTCTGTACGCGCCCACCCCCAACCCTCTCTGCATATTCTAGCCTTTCTTCCCCCCTCGCTGTCCCCGGAACCTGTCTCCTGCCATCACCCCTTCCCTTTTAGAACAAACCACACATCCAGATCATCTTTTATTCACTTTATTTGTGGGGCGAAAGCAGAAGTGGGTGGCAAAGTGCAGGAAGGTGTTCCTTCCCAAGACAGAAACAGTGGTCTGGTCAGAGCACTCTTGGCTCCTTGGCACAGTAGACTGGGTGTCCCGGGCTTCACCAGTGTCCTTGGGGCTCCCTCCTTTATATGGGGTCTCTGGCCCCTGCACTGTCCAGCTGTCAGTTTTGGGAAAGGGAGCCCCCACTTGTTTTCACCACCGTTTCTGATGTCCCCTGAGTCTCAGGGACCTTCAAGGTGGGCAAGTCTATCAGGTAAGTCACACTGGTACGTCGGATGCCCCATGGAGCAGCTCTGCCCAGGTAAGCACAGTTCAGAGTTCAGAGTTCAGGGTCAGATGAAGTGTCAAGGGAAGCAGACCAGATGGGTAGTTTGGGGTGGGCTTGCTTGCGGGGTGCGCCAGGGTTGGGGGAAGCATGGCACCACAGCACCTCCAGAGGCTGGGAGGGGGTGGGGGTGGGGCCCAGGGGAGTTGGAGAAAGGGTGTGGAGGAAGAAGAAGTCAGTGGAGCACCCGAGGTCAGTGTCCCAGGATGCACAGGTGGCCGCACGCCACTCGGGTGGTGGGAGGGTCCCTGGCATCTGCTTGCTTGGCTGCGCCTGCTGTGTCTGCTCTGCATCTGGCCTGGGGTGACAGGGTCATTGTTGCTCATCACTGCTTTCTTCTCTCATTGATCTCACTCCCGGCTTTGGGCCTGAGGCCCGGTCATTTAGGACAGGGTTGCACAGTCTTGGTCGTTTAGGACAGGGTTGCACAGTCTTGGACGTTTAGGACAGGGTTGCACAGTCTTGGTCATTTAGGACAGGGTTGCACAGTCTGTCTTGGACGTTTAGGACAGGGTCGCACAGTCTTGGCTGGCTCTGGGACGCTGACAGTTGGCTAGTCCTTTAGCACAGATGATGTTGGCTGGTTGATGAGTTGAAGATGTGGCCCCTTCACAAGTGGATTCCCCTTGGGTTGGGAGTGGCAAGAGGGGGCGCTGGATTTGAGCGAAGCTGGTTGAGGCACAAGGACGGATGGCAGAGACTTGGTTGTGTTTTCACTCAAGCTCATCATCTGATGAGTCCGATAGTTGTTGCAGCCTGGCCTGGTCCCTGGGTGGGGAAGGCGGGACCGTTCTGGAGGCTATGACCAGGAATCGTGCAAGAGTCCGGGCCACCTCATCTCTGGTGGCTAGAGTAAGCTGGCCATCGGCCCCAAGAATGTAGAGAAGGCGGTTGTTGAGGAAATCTAGGACCTGGGGGTCCAACAGATTTCGTGGGCGGAGGGTGACCACTTCTTGGTCGCCAAGCAGGTCTTGCACGTCGTTACCCTGCGCGTCCTGCGAGGTGTCTTGCAGGCCGTCATGCAGGCCACTCTGACGGTAACGTTGCAGGTCGTCTTGCAGGGCTTCTCGCAAGACGACATCTTCATCACCAATGACGCGCAGCTCCAAGCATCGGTGCCGGATTGGGGCAGGGAAGATGTCATCGTCGGGGTTGACTCTGACCCCGAAGAACTCACACAGGGTCAACCAGTACCCAGGTGTGAATTGCAGGTCCCGTCGGGGCCGGAAATTCACTGCATTCTGATGCCAGCCGCCTGGGGTCAGGAACACTTCAGCCAACTCTCGAGATGGAAGGGTGTTGGCACCCGCAAGAGAGGGCATCTGGTTGAACAACTGAGCAATGGCTGCGGACATGCCACTACCTGCAATGAGGGAAGAGTCCAGGATGAGTCGGACTGTTTGTCGGGGCTGAGGCCTCTCCACCTCCCAAGAGGGGGTAGGCACTGGGCACTGGCGCTGCCTCACCCTCATCATCGCCAGAAGGGACGCTACACCCAGGGCATTCTTCCAGTAGATCAGGCCACGGTAGAAGCTGTGGATAACGACCCGGATCTGGGCCATACTGAAGTGGGCCAGGATGCCACTGAAGAGCTGGTTTATCGGGATGGCAGACAGTAGCTGCTGCACCAAAGTCTGCTGACTGTAGTCTTCTGATTCCTGGTATGAGCCATATTCACTGTCCTCGGACTCTATCTCAGTGTCGGACCGGGACCTGGACTCGGACTCGGACTGGGGCTCGACATCAGAATCAGACTCTGCGGAGGTGTCCCTTCGACCTCTCCTCAAGGCAAGAAGCAGCAGTGGCCGCATGATCCTGCCTCGGGCAGCTCTGTCGTTCCAGCTTCTCCTTTGGGACAGGGCTAAGGTGTCGTCTTCATCGGGCAGCTCCATGACATCGAAATGGAAGTGGGAGAAGAAGAAGACCCAATGCCCGGGGAGAAGTACGGTGAGCCTGTCATTATTCAGAGAGGCTAGATCCTCTGTGTTGAGAAGGATCATGATGGGCTCCTCGGTGTTCTCCAGGTAGCGGCACCACACCATGAAGGAAGCCCGGATTGGAAGGATCCTCAACTCCACTTGAGGGTACTCCACCTCCATTGGGGAGAGGCGTCGTGAGTAGAAAGCGCAGGTAGCTTTTTTGCCAGTTTCCTCATCGGTCTGGACCAGGGAGGCATGTAGGAATGACCCGGTGACGCCTGTTTCCAGGTAGAATGGATTCTGAGGCTTGGGGTGGTAGAGAGTGTGTGCCTTGCGGAAGGCCCTCTTGAGGCATTCCAAGGCCTCCTGTTCCTCTTCTCCCCAGTAGTAGGGCTCTGAACTCAGCAGCTGCCTCACCAGGGGGTCTGCGATGATGGCAAAGTGCTCCACGAAGTGGCGGTAGGGATAGACGAGTTCGATAATGGTTTGCAGGCACCTTCTGTTGCCAGGGACACGGCACCCCATAATGAGATTCATGAGGGTCTTGTTGAGTTTCACCCCTTTGGGGGACAGGACGAAGCCCATGATCTCTGCGGTTTGGCGATGGAACTGGCTTCTGTCCAGCGAGCAGTAGACGTTGTTGTTTCGGAACCGGAGCAGGACCTGGCGGACGTGTTCAACGTGTTCCTCCTGGCTCATTGAGTAGACCAGGACCTCCTGGCCACGGGCAATCACGTAGAAGCCTAGGATGTCTTTTAGGATGAAGTGAATCTCGTTATCAGATTCATCAGCAAATGAGCACATTGTGAAGGGCCGGTAGCATCTCATCTGGTGAAGGGTCAAACCAAACGTTGCTCTCCATGTGTCTTCCGTGCGTGTGACGCTGTAGTTGATATCAGCCCCCTTAATGTCCCTGCTCAGCACCAGCTTTGTGAACCATGCAGCTCCATGTAACTGGTCAAACAGTTCTGGTATCATCTGTATGTAGTCCTGTCTGTCAGTCAGCATGTCACACAGTATCCAATACTCCTCTTGCTGCCTGGCTTTTTCTTGCATCCTGGCAGTCACAGATGCCCAAGGCGCCCTGGAACGGCACTCGTAAAAGACGTCGTTGCGATCACTGTCTCCAGCCTGCTGAAGCTCAGAGGGCTCTGATTCAGAAAGATCATCGGATCCGTCTGAGCTTGGCTGGTCGGAAGTCTCATCATCTGCTTCCTTCGGGTTAAACACGTCGGCCAGGTCTGAGTATGGGTGTGGCAATCCGGGTAGCAGGCTCATTCCGTATCTCTCCAGTGCGATGCATGGTGGCGGTGGGGTGAAGCAATTCCTCAGGCAGTAGGGAGAGTGGAAGGTGCAGCGGCCTTTGATCCAGTCAACGTCAGGTGCGTGGGTTCGGAGCCACTTGATGCCCAAGACCACAGAGAAGTGAGGCGAAGGTACAATGTCAAACTCGATGTATTCATAATGGTTCTGCTGGACGCACAGCAGGCGTTCGGTGTACAGCCATGTAGGTTCGTTGCCGATGAGGGAGCCATCCGCAGTTTGGATTGCCTGTGGATAGGGTCTCTCGTAGAGCTCCACGTAGTGTTCTTGGGCAAACCTCTCATCCATGTAGTTCCCTTCTGCTCCTGAGTCCAGCAGGGCCTGCACTGCGACACTGTGGTAGGGGCTCACCCTCACCATGAGCAACAGGAAGATGTGGGCATGGTCAATGTCTGGATGGAGCGTTTAGGGAAGCCAGCTGCTCACCCGCCACTTCTCTGGGGCAGGTGAGTCGATCCAGGTCATGTTCCTTGGGCGGGACTCGGGGGGTAGCCTGAGCACGGCTCTTCTCTCTGCCAGCTTATCTTCAATTTGCAGGACCAGCACCATCAGGTTCTCCAGGGATTCTGGCTGAGGGATGCGGAACAGATAATGCCTGATGTCTTCATTGAGCCCCTGGCACAGGTGGGCCTGCAGGACTTCATCGGGCCAGCGCAAGGTGGGTACCAGACTCTGGAACTCATTGATGTAATCGGCAACACTACGGTTGCCCTGCCTGATACTGAATATGGCGTCTTCTGCCACACGCAGCGTCTGCCGGTACTCGAACCTGTCTGACATGGCCTGGAGGAAGGCTGAGAAGTTGTTCAACAGGGGGCTTTCCTGCTCTATCAAGGTGGTGGCCCATTCTAAGGCTAGGTCAGTCATGTGGCGGATGAGAAATCTCACTCGAAGTTGATCAGTGGGGAACATTGCTTGGTGGTTCTGCAAGGCCATCTGGCAGAGTACAATGAACTCATGGTAGTCTCTGCGATCTCCAGAGAAGGGCCTGATGGAAGGGAGCTGGCCGTCATCGATGGCATCCGTCAAGAGCTCCTCTGCCACTATCTGCTGCTGTCTGACGTCTTGCATTCGGAGGAACAGCGAGATGATGGACCCCATTGTGGCCACGACTTCTTCTGGAGAGTTCCCGGCCTGACTCTCCTCTCCGAACTCCCCACTGGTAACATCCAGGTTAGTGTCATCTTCGTCTGACCGGGTCTCAGAGGAATTGCTTGACACTACACACAGCCCGTCAGATATCTCACTCAGTGGGTCTTCGCCGTCTTCTTCCGCATGTGAAATGTCGCATGACTCCTCTAGGTCCTGGAACGGAACGTTTGGTGCATCCTCCGTCTCGTCGCACCGGCCACTGGATGACTCCTCCAAGTCTTGGAGTAGGTCGTTCGGTGGATCCTCTGTTTTCACACATGGACCACTGGATGACTTCTCCATGTCTTGGAGTAGATCAGTGGGCAGCTCTTCTGTCTCCTGGACCAAGCCACTGGGTGGCTCCTGGGCTGGGCCACTGGCTGAGCCCGCCTCTGCCTGCGCCTGCGCCTGCGCCCCGCTGGTGCCTGGTGTCTCCTCAGCGGTGTTGGATGAGCCCTCGGAGGACTCCATTTGTTTTGATGATGGATTCTTAAGCTCCATCATCGTCTCAAATGAGTCTTCAGAGGGTTCCATCATGTCGTCGGTTGGAAAGGACTGTGCTCTGAAGACGGGTAAGGTTGTGATGTGTGTGGTCAGCGACCGCGGCTGTGGAGATCAGAACCTAGGGGCAGAAGGGAGAAAAGCAGGAAGAAAAGCAGCAATTTAGGGACTCAAGATGTCAGGGTCAGATTCTCAAGGACAAACCAGATGCCTAAGTAATTAGAATCAGAGAAAAACCAGAGAAATTCTCCCTGTATTTAATACAACCTCTTCCACCTCTGGTCACTTGGGGCACCTGAATGGGAGAGGCTCAACCCCTGACCTGCCTCCCAGGCGGAGTCAGAGTCTGACTGCCCCGCCCGCCTATTTCCTCCACTGGAATGAGAAATTCACAGTCCATAAATTTTGTGGAGCAACTAGCCCAGAGCATCCTCTGTGGCAAGCAAGCCTCTGGCAGGGCCCACTTTTGGCCTGTTTTGCCCTGGCACCCATGCCTGGTCAGTTTCCCTTCCTGCCTCTAGTGACCCAAAAGTCATAAGGTCACATCTCAATGCCACTCGAAGCCACTGCTGGCAGGCTTGGCCGTCTGGAGCCAGCCCAGCATGCTTGGTTGGGGGGCGGGATTCTGCATGGAGATGCTTGCTGTCTCACAAACTCCGGGGAAAGAGGAGAAATTGGGCACTTGGCCACTATCCTGCCAGTTGGGTCAGCAGCCAAAAATAGCTCTTATTTCCTCTTCCAGGCTCCAACTGGAAGTAAGTGGGAGAGAGCATGACTTTTGGTTTTAATTTTCTCTCCGTAAATGTTTATAAAATGCCTACTGTGTGTTGAAAACTTGTACTTTTGTTGCTTCATCCTATGTCATACTTGGTGTGTGTGGGGGGGATGGGGTGATTTCTCTTTCTCAATTTGTTACTCAGCCAAAGCTATGTTCTCTCCAGCGCTGAGCTGGAGGTTTCCAAACACCCTTCCCAGCCTCTCTAAAACCTACCCTCCCAGGATTGCCCCGGTCTGCAGGGCTCCTGGAGCCTGAAACATCTGGCCTCAATTCTGCTCATGCAAACATTTATGCATGCTTCCCGGATCCTATGTTTCCAAGTTTCCCTTCTGCTCAGTCAGACACAGGCTTCTCATTCTTGAAAGTAGCCCCTTTTCTCTGTCACTGTTCATTTCCTCCAGGACAGGGGGTATCTAGCAGAATTATGAAGTTGGCTAAGAGGAGGGCACAGGACCTTTGAAATCTGATTGTCTTAGAATTTTTGAAAGTCTGGCAATGGGAGGATTTAGTGCGCGGAAATTGAATTTAAAGGGATGTATTGGTTTGCAAAACAAATTAAGCTATTCAATAGCCCAGCCATGCAGCTATTGTATTATAAATTCAACACCTTCTGTTACATCTCAATTTTCTTTCTTAGGGCCACTAGGCTGACCTAGCAAAACAAACAACAGCAATAACAACAACAAAACCAAAAACCAAAAACACCCCCCCAAAAAAACCCAAATAAACAAAAATCTCCATTCTGTCCTTTATGTAAAACTCCCATTGGCTCAAATCCATACCTTCCAGCAGGATTTAAAAAGAAAGAAAGAAAGAAAAAAACCAGATCTGCACTTTCTCAGAATTAGACATACCCTTGTTAGCATGACACTTAAATTTGATCATGCAATCTCTCTGATTAAAGCCTCTGACTGTTTATTTACTGTCTGCAACATCAAATCCAAACCCTTTGTATAAACACATCTGACATGTCAACTTAACCAAAAAACCATTCTCTGGCTAAAATTGAAAGGCCTTAGCACAATCACAAGTTGGACTTGTCATTCCTGGAAGTAGAGATCACAGTTTCTAAACCCGGTGAACAAATTAGGTAAAACAACCGTCTCAGAAACATGCACAGCACATTGCATAAATCAACTCATTTCCTCTTTGTGAAAGCCCTTTATGGCACGCACTATTATTGAAATGTAAAATTTGACTAAGACATCTACAGGTTCTTCTGTTGGACATAAAAATCTCAGCAGGTCTCCCACTTAAGATGGTAGTTTAAAATTTTTTAATTTGTAACAATCTGATTAAAAAACTTCTTAATGAAAAGTCTACACAAATTTGACCATGTAAGTAATTGACTTTCTGTTTTCCAGCCTTCAACCTAAACACCTAGTGTTCCAGATATCTTAATAAGCTTGGCTATCAGAATGTAAACTTTTAGCGTGATAAACAATGATTATCTCACGATTTCCCATTTAACACACACACAGATTTCCACTCTTTACGATGAAGTTCTAATTGCTAAGCATAAATGAATTCTTTAACCATGTGATTTAATTGACAGCTAATCAATACAAAATCCCAGTTTCATAGGCCACCCCAGAAATCCCTGACGGCTTTCAGGTCAAGCTCTTACAAGATAACAAAAGCTCATACTCCTTGTAACATGCATGCATTGGCTCATGTACCTTCTGCTTGCAGCCTCACCAAGTCTCTGCCTTACCTATAAGACCGAGTCTGGGAGTTCTCATAGAGTCACACATTTCTCTGCAGACTGAGCCTCTCCAACACACAAAGTTCATGATGTCATTCTCCTAAAATCTCATCATGGCAGGAGTCCAAATTGCTCAGCATGGCATGACAGTGAACTCCTCGAATTCCTCAAAACCGTGTCTAACCCTGACATGCTCTGTGACTGTCATCTCGCTTCTCAGCCCATGCTGTAGGTGACCCAGCTTCTTAGCACAGAAACCTTACTGCGTGCCCTCGTGCCGAGGGGCAGTGGACATTCACGCATGCATTGAACAGCTCCTCAAATCCACACAGCTCAGCAGACATCATGTTTTAAATCATCAAATTCCTTTGGAGACAAAACGCTTGACCACTTCACTCCTTAAAACCCTTCCTTGGCCAAACTCCAAGCAGCCCCACACAAAAGGATTAAAAATGGTACCTCACCCCTCACTCAGGATACATCAGCGCCTTCCTTGTGTACATGGGCCACATCTGTAATCATGTTCTAATATCCACTCTCCTCTCTCCCGAGTTCACAAACCATCAGGAGTCACTCCCAGATTTATAACGTTGCAATGTTTCTTTGTAGCATAAAACCCCAAATTCTTAACAGGCAGGGCAGTATCTTATCTTGTCACTTACCTCTGGGCTGGTCTATTAAAAAAAAAAAAAAAAAAAAAAAAGCAACCAACAAATCTTCCCCTATCACACTTTTAAGCCCTCCATTGGCTTAAATCCAAACTTACTGGGGTGATATTATAATCTGATATGTCATCCCTTAGAATGAAATTCACACATCTTAGCACAGTTCGTTAAATTTGAGCTCGTAACTCCACCTTAAAAACCCCACAATGTCTCTTAATTGTGCGCGACATAAAAAGTCCAGATTCTTGGCATACAGTGAGAATTTGATTTCATAACCATGCTATGCTGTATCTATCAGGCACAAAAAAACTCACCATGTCACTCCGTTAGAACTGGATAAATCAAATTTTTAAGCATGTGCAAAAATCTCATCACGTCAGAGCCTCTAAATAAATTCCAAATTTCTCTGCACAGTCCCCACCTCGGCCATCTAACTCCTCTAATTAGAACCTTTCCTCAGTGTCAGCATTAATCATATCTCCTTGGCATGCCCTGAGAGTCAAACTTTGGCATTCCCTCAACATATAAAGTCAGGATTTGGGCACGATCCTTAAATGTGTGCCTGTTAACTTTCCCATTTACGATATCTCAGTGTTTCTTGTTGCTTGTTATAATAAAGTCCAAAGCTGTTAGCCATAAAATATGTTTTATCATGCTTTCTACAGGGTTATCTCCCACAAGCAAACAAACTCACCATTAAATGTTTTTTTAAAGTCTTTTGGCGGAAGCCCAAAGCCCTTAGTGTGATAGAAATTTTGATCCCGCCACCCCTCAAAATAAAGTCCAGATTTCTACTGCAGAGACCCAAATCAATCCATAAAACCCCTGCTTCAGGTCTCCCCACCCATTTCTAACAATGTTGAAAAGCCCAACTTTCTTTGAGTGACACTGTCATTTAATCATGGGATTCTCAGCTTCCAACCTTTTAAATTTCATGTCCACAACATAAAATCCAAGTGCCCCGTTTCTGAATGGAGCCTGGAGCAAGTATATCTTGTGTTGAAAACATTTGGATCGTTCCATATGCTTGGGAATCTAGAGCTTAAATTGTTTTGCATAAAATGAAATATGTTAGCTGTCTATAGCTTCCTCCCTTGTTTGTCCTTCTCTTGAGAGACAGAGTCTCATGTCCCCCACCCTAAACCCATCTTGACTTGGCGATGCCTAGAGCTTTGTATTTTTAAAAATCTTCACTTCACCATTATTTCACTCAGCAGTCTGTTCTCATTCTTTTCTGCCTTAGGCAGCCTGCTTGGACCCCAAAGAACTGGAGAGGGGTGCCACTGTGCAGTCCACAGAAGCAGGAAGTGAACCCTGCGCCCTGGACTTTAAGGTCCTTCTGGAGGTGAGTGAGATGAGAGCCCCGCCACACCAGGTGGCCCAGCTCAGGGTCCTGCCTCTCTGGGTGGACTTGGGCATGTCCAATGCTATCCTTGTTCCCTCTGATGTCTTTTGACAATCATCTAGGCTTCCCCTGGCTCTTGCTCTCCACCAACCCACCCTGCACGCCTCTAAGCTGTGTGCAAGGAACATTTTCTGTCCCTCAGATCCATTTCAATGTCTGTTCTCAAACCTCACCTATTTTCTTTTAATTTGAAAATTTCTGACAAAATCTGGATCTAGCTCCTAGGGTTGGAGTTGCCTTTTGGGTCTTGTTTGGGACCCTGTATCCCACAACACTCAAAACAAACACCCCAGTCTCACCACTCTTTGTGTCCCAAGACTCCGTCAGGTCAGCTCCTTGCTTGCCTCTGAGCAAGTGGCCCATGGTGTCAGGGCTGCCACGGAGCACCTATGAAGGGTTCAGTGGGGGGGGAGGCGAGGGGGGGCAAATCCCTCAGCGAATACCTTTCCCTGTACAGTAAAGGAAATCTGATTTTAAAAATAG